CACTGAGCTAAATCTCTGGCCCTACTAAAAACTTTTTAAGTAATGGAAGCCTTTGTGCAAAAGTTTACTAGGACTTTTTTTTTTGGTGTATGGAATACATAATGACATTCATTTTAGGGTATCGGTATATATTTATCATACCTTAATCGTTTCTAATCCTCTTTTTCTCTGTACCCTTCCTCCTTTCCCCTGTCTTTGATCCCCTTTCCCTATCTCCAGAAAGTCTGTCTGTATTTTAATATTTTGGGTTTCTCCTGTAAGAGAAACCATGCGATACTTTACTTTCTGTGTAGGACATTCTTGTTTAAATTAAAATTGGAGGAAAATTCTAACCTCAGTAGACTTTGGTGTCCTGTTCATACCTTCTTAGAAACATGTAAAGCTGAGTCCAGGCAAGAGAAAGCCCTTTGCTTTCAAAACATTTTGATGAAGAAACTGTCTTTTGTCAGAAGGCTGAGCTGGCACAAATACTGGCAGGAATACTGACAATAATCTCTGTGGGTAAGATCTTTTCTGGGACAGCAGGAGCCTTCTGTTCAGGTAATGATAGTGCTTGCTTTGAAATGTGCCCTTGAGAACAAGGCGGAAAGACTTCAGAGACTGAATTTTTCTTTTAGGCCGGCTGCTACTATAATTGTCGTTTGGTGAGCCATGCAGGCTTAGAATAAGTATTCAGGTTTTGAGTATATGGATCAGCAAATTAAATTCAGTTGAATCCTAAAACTTCTTTTCAACAGGAGTACATCTTTCTCATGTGCACCTAATTTGCCAAACCACTGTTTGGAGGTCGTTAAAAACTGACACCATTTTTCTTAATGTTTATATTCAGGTTTTTTGCATTCCCAATTATAGTAACATTGGCAACAAGAGTTAAACAGAAACGTCACCAAATGACGCATTTGACTTTGTAATAAAAGCTTTCAGCCTTAATGTTATTAAAGTACTGCTACAAGCTACAGCTGACATGGGAATATATTGTCCTCATTTTTTTTCTTTAAGAAGCTGAAGTAAGCTGGGCATGGTGTGCATGCATGTAAGCCCAGCAAGAAACTGAGGTAGGAGGATTGCTGTGAGTTCAAGGCCAGCCTGAACTTACATGGCAAGACCCTGTCTCAAAAAGAAAAAGGAAAAATTAAAGTAAAATGGGATTTAAAGATTTCAAAATTCTGGAGGAAAGGTCCTTTTAAAAGTCCCTCAACTGCTAGTGTTAATTTTTTGTCCAAGGCATAGATAGGGCTGAGTGAATATCTGTTTAACAGTTTACACCATGAAAATAAAATATTACTTGCAAAGATTGATTAGGGAAAGAATATCAAATATATGAGGGTATTGATATGTTGCAGTTCTCCAGCCTGCAATAAATCTATGATATTTTTAGTGTCTGCCTAAGCCAGACCCGTTCAATAGGATTTAGAAAAGATGACTTAATGAAAACCCTTATTGTAAAATACAGATGAACAGGTGTGCAAAGCTTTGAAACTATACTGTTTCTTTTTTGTGTGTGCCTTAATTAAAAATACAAGTAAAGGACACTCAGTATTCTCCTATTCCCTGTACTAGTCATTTAGAAAACCTTCTTGGGCTTACTGCCAGTTTTTGTCTCTTTTTGGTTCTAGAAGCCGGATGCTACAGGAAATGAACTTTTTTTAAGACCAAAAAAAGTGTTGTCTTTAAACAAATGAAGTAATGTCCTATGATCCAAGTAGTGTGACTTCACAGGCACTTTCCTGTAGTCGAGACTTGCTAGTTGTAAACGCCCAATGAAATATTTAGGAGACTTCAGTTACAGAACCAGGGGAGAATGGAGATAAGGATGTGGCTCACATTCTTCCTTTGTTTGCTGTTTACTGAAGAGAGCTATACTTGGCCTCTGTGTAGCAGCAGGGGCAGGAAAGATGTTCTAGCTGCTGGGAAGAAGCACAAGCAGTTTTGTAACTGGAGGAAAGTGGTTGATGATGATTTCAAGTCGTTTTGATTCAGGAAGAGGTTTCCAGGGGGTGGTTTGACTGCTAGTGAGGCGCATCAGTGCTGAGCCTCCAGTCCTCTCTGGTGAAGACTTAGTCACCGCTTCACAGCGGGCCAGAGGAAAGGCTTAAGTAATATCTGCACGGTGCTTGTACACTTGTCTTTAATACAGGGTGGCAGTTTGTGTGTGGGTCTATGTATACACATCACACACCTATGAGTGCAAAACAACTATTTCATCACCCATATGTACATCCTTTTTCATTTGGTGAAAATAAGATATTAACTTCCTTGGGGTTGGTTGTATGTGCTTTTCACTGGCAGAGCTGGCAACAAATATCCAGATAGTTGAGTGCTAGCTTCTCATTGCTGTCTGTGAAAACAATGGGAAAAGATTAAGTAGTTCAACTAGGAAAATGTGGCCTCTACCTTAAAGAAGTTTGTGGCCATCCCTTTCCATAGCCTTAAAACTATTCGAAGGTGGGTGATAAGAATCTGATAAGAATCATGATGAGAGAGAACCTGTTGACAGTACTTTCTGCCTTGCCTGTGACTCACTAGATAGATTTCATCAGGTCACTTAATAGCTTTGTGCTTCAGGTTGCCACATCTGAAAAACTTGGCAACTTGTCATTGTAGGGTATGCCAAGCTCTTTCCTGGCTTTCCTGGTGACATTGTCATGCTCCAAACCAGAGCTAAAGCGTATCTTCGCGGGACCCTTCTTGTTACCTCCCTTTCTAACGTGGGCCTTTATTATCTCCAAATTCAGACGTTCACCTTATTCCCTTTCCTGTCCTATATTCCACATCAAATGGGTCCACAGAGCCTACAGCTTTACTTTTAAAACATGTCTGAATCTTGCCTCTTCTCCCCATCTGCATCTCTGCTGTGTGGTCTAGACCGTCATCATCTCTAACCCAGATGATGGCAGTACCTTCTGTCACAGTGCTGCTTCTGCCTTCTCCCCTTATAGTTGGTTTAATGGCAGCCAGTTCCACTGGGTTCCATCCCATCTAGGGTAAAAGCCAAAATCCTGACCACTCTACTTAGCCTCTACCCAGGTTGGCCAGCCTTGGGGCCCCTCTGATTTGATAGCCCCTCTGTGTGTGTGCGTGTGAGAGTGTGTGTGTGTGTGTGTAGGTGTGTAGACAGGATCTTGCTGTGTAGTTCAGGCTAGCCTCAAACTTACTGTATAGCACAGGCTGGCCTTGAACTCATGACAATCATCCTGCCTCAGCCTCCCGAGTGCTGGAATTCCAGGCCTGCCCCACCACGCCTGGCACTAACTCCCCTCCTGCACCAGCTTCATCAGAACCCCTAACAACGCCTGTCATGCCTCTCTCTTTCCAGTTTCTTTGCACTTGTTTTGCTTCTGCCGATAATGTGGTTCCCCTAGATAGATCTAAGACAGGTCATTTATTAATTACATTACATACATCTTGACTGTAATGTCACCACTGTCACATGTTTTTAAATTTCAGTCTCCTGGGCCAGGGATGTAGCTCAATGGCACTGCGTCTGCCAGGAAAGCACAAGGTCCTGAGTTTGATCCCTGGTACCAGAAAAAAAAATTCAGTCTCCAGCAGCCACATTTCTCCTCTATCCCTTTCTTGCTCTTTGTTCTCTTCAGCACTTACTGCTTCAGCACCTTTTCAGCACGGACAGGTTGAGCTGCTCATCTGCTGTCTGACCTCCCCCATTAGTCTGGGAATGTCAGCAAAGCAGAAAATTCATCCCCTTTATGCATTATTTTATAGCCAGAGCTTAGAATAGTGCCTCACAACAAAAACATTCGTTTATCAGTCAATGAATTCCTGTAATACTTTGCCTATATATTGGAGCTTACTTTGTAAAGTGCTATCTTGTATATTTCACTTGATTTTTACAATCTTAACATTGATAAAGCTGTCATCTTGCTAAACAAAAAGTATGGGGAACTTTAAAGTCACCACATTGAAGTGTTCTGGTAAATGGAAGTCAAAACTGGACCTCAGGCTTTCCTATTCAGAAGTCAGTTCATTTCCTCCTATATCAAATGTCCATAACATTTGCTATTCAGGTATTTCAGTTTACCTGTGTTACAACTAGTGTCACCTGTGTATTGTTACTAAATCTTCATTTCTGGAATTGCGTGTAATATAAACATATCCCATCTTGTGTGCATATATACTTAGAAAGAGAGTTGGAAAATCAGGTTTAAAATAAAATATGGTTCTATACTAAATGTAATATGAATTTTTAAAAAGCATATTGCTGCTTTGCTTAGCTGGTTGGTTCCTCTTGGATAATGACAGGAAAGAAAAACAAAACAACACAAAAATACCTGGGGTAATTTTCTTACTACTGATGCATTTTTTCTTTTCTTGACTTAAGTTTTAGTTCCTGCCCACCATGATGCCACACACCTGTAATCCAAGGATGTGGGAGGCTGAGGCAGGAGGATCCCTGCAAGTTTGAGGGCAGCCTGGGCTTCATAGTGAATTCAAGGCTGGTCTGAACTACATGGCGAGAACCTGTCTCGGAAAAAAAAAATTTTTTTTTTAGTCCCCTTGGGAGTCTAAGACATAACAAATTTTGCTTTGAGTGTTGAAGTCACAGCAGCTGTATTCATGGGAACTACAGAGATTATTGAAAGACCTACTGGAACTCTGATGTAAGGGTCAATCCAGAAAAGTAGAATGTCAGGATTTGCTAAATCCATCCCATTAGCAAATAATTAGGATTTTAGAAGTCACAATACTAAATGGTCATTCTTGAACTAATGACTACATGTCCATAAAAATAGATTGCTCTCTTTCCGCTTCCTACAAGTAAGGGTATGTAAGAGAGTACTTCACCTGCTAGAAAGTCCCAGTTAAACTGAATTTTAAGTAGAACTTGAATTTCCTTTCTGGATCATTCTGTTTACCATTGGGATCTGACTTACACTGTATGTGATGGAACTTGGTTTCTTCTTATCTTAAGGACTGGGTTATATAAAATGCTGAAGGGAGCTCATTTGTAATCTTATGCTAAGATTCATTTGTTGTGCTAGATCTCCAACTTGCTGCTGAGCTTGGGAAGACATTACTGGATCAGAACACAGAGTTGGAAGATTCTCTCCAGCAAATGTACACAACCAATCAGGAACAGTTACAGGAAATTGAGGTAATTTCTCAGTGGGGACCCTTTGGCGTGTGGGTGTTACGGTTGTGTCAGTCATATATTGCTGTAATCACAGTTTGGAATTAGAAGCAGCACTTAATTTCCAACGCAGAATTTTTTGAAAATAGTAATCTGAGAGGTGAGGGGTTGATTTCTATTTTTGGGGGGTTCTCCTAATACTTAAGCCTGCTGTAATGAAAGAGATTTCTCTGTGTACTTTTATGAAGTGTGCTCAAAGTAAATGGTCTGGTGTTGGCCAGTATGTAAAGCAAAATGAAACTATGAATATTATGTTTAGTTTTTCAGTTTTTTCTTTTAGAATTGAACCATGCAATACTTAAGGTAAAAGAAAAGTAAAAGAATAATGGAGTGAATACTGATATACCCACCACCTAGCTTAAGCAAGAAAAGTATCCTCACTATTGAGAGTCTTCTGTCTAGCCCCTCCTTGGTGCCACCTCCTTCCCTCTCACTACCAAACACCACCCAAATTTGGATCTAGATAAAAAAGTAAAAAGATCGTAGTACCTGATCTCATGTGTTAAATTCCCTGTGCCATTCAAGGAATTAATCATAAAATACCTGTTACTTTCTCCTTGCTGAGATCTTGATTTATTTATATTTTTGATGTATTTTTAAATATTACTTTTTGCTTAGTTTGAAAAACTAAAATGAAAGATGCAAGCATAGGGCTTTAGAATAGAAAGTGCTTAAATACCTTTTAAAGCCTTTGCTATTGTCTTTAAAAAGAAAACAACTGTATGATTCCAGGTTATGTAAAGAGAAATATAGTGTCTGTAAAGTGTGTGTTCTTTATCTTGCAGTTTATTTTAAAAAGAAAGTTAAATGACCCAATCACTTATATGTTCTATATTAATTTTATGGGATGTTTTAAAATTAATAAATTCCTACTTTAAACAAAAATAAAATGGGGGCTGCCACTTCAGGTAGCCTGGTTACTTGTAGGCCACTTGACTAGGAAGATAATTATGGCTGTTAGCCAGATAGTGTCCCATTGGAACACCTCTCTCCATGCCCCAAACTTCTCCTGACCCCTTAACAGGTTTACACTTAAATTGCAGCTCCTCACCTTCAAGTCAGTACTGAGGACACAAGTCTTGTTTCTGTGTATAGAAAAATGTGAAAGACCCTAAAACCTTGAAGTAGTTTATTATGATCAGTACTTGATAGTTCTGATTGTGTACTGAACCAGATGCTAGGAATTTAAAGAAGTAGAATTACTGCATAAGTCTTTGCCTTCAAAGTAATCGCATTATACATTTCAACTTTTGAATACAAGTAAACCTTTCTCATCAAAACTAAGGCATGATCTCTAAATATGTTAATTTCATGCATTAGCCATAAAATGTTATATAAAAATGACCCCTTCAGCAAGACTTAATATAGCCAGTGATGTGATTGAAAGACAGTTTTATGATTCTAGGAAGGCGTAGCTTGTAAGGATATTGGAGTTTCCACATACCATTTTTAGCACATTTTACATTAAAAAAGCATAAAAGCCTGACATGATTGCCTGTAATCCCAGCGCTCTGGGAGACTGAGGCAGAAAGATTGAAAGTTCAAACCCAGCCTGAATGGCTTAGAGCCTTAACAACCCCCTGTCTCAAAAATTTAAAAAAAGTTGGGAATGTGGCTCAGTGATGTCCCTGGCATTCATCCCTCAGTATTGCCAAAAAAAAAATAGAACATGCTATACCCTAAATTAAATTTAATGACTTGTAGAACAAACTTTTTAGAATTATTAAACTAGCCAAATATTATATGTAATCAAGAAATTCATTTTCCTGCTTTGTTTCTTAGCCTTTGTTTTTCAGCTCATTGAATGATTCTCTAAACTAGTATAGACTCATACACTGTGGGGTACATTTATTTGTACTTGGATAGAAACATAGTCTCAATACATTGTATTGATATTTCCTATGAAAGGATCTATAAAATACTATAACTGGTTATTTTAATACATCTTCTGTGTATACATGAAAGAAGTCCAAATATTTATGTAATTAAGAGAGTTATACCTATTGGTTAGTGTAGGAGTTTATAAACACAGGTGCTTTATGATTTAAGTTGTCTACCTTTTCTGTGGTATCAGGGATTAGACAGTTAAGTCAGGTGGTTTACATTCTGAAAGAATTGAAAAAGATCTTTTGAGATTCTCTAAATCTGCCATCTTCTGTCATCCACAAGATATTGCTGCACAGCATAATGGAAATATATCCAGTTCAGACCTTAATGATTAAATGTAAAATTAAATACATGTAGAAGCCTATTCAAATAAATTTAGTCTGGAATACTTTCAGAAACATTTCATAGGTCTCTCGTTTCTATAGAGAATGTGGTCCACTGGAACATAGATGCATGCATTGCAGAATCCAGTTATTTTACTCTATCCACATCTGGTTTTTAGCTGAGAACAACCACTGTTTTAGAGTTCTTCACTACCATTACAGTTGGCTTTTGCTTTTTATAATTGCCTCCTGGAAATAGGAAAGGCACAAAACAGGGAGATGAGCGAGGAGTACTAGCTAAGGCCAGTTCATATGCAGGGGACTCCCACAGATCAACTTTACGCCTGCTTGTTCACACCTGTGCCTGGGCAGACTGCAAACCGCAGTGCAGACTTCTGAGGTCTGTCCAATCACCCGCAACAAACGCTCCTGTACGAGTAACCAGGCAGCCAAACAGCCCAGCTCCCTACTTAAAGATAACCTTTGATTAAGCGCCCCTTGCTATTGCAACCTCAAAGAACCCCTTTGAGCTTTAGGAGGGCTCTTTTCACTTGTACAGACAGAATAGAGCACAAACCTAAGTGTATAGTTTGATGCCTTTTCATGAAATAAACATGCCCATGCAACCAGCACCCAGATGAGAACATTATCAGCCGTCTAGTCACCACCCCCACTGACCGGCATTCTGATGCTGACACCCTACATTATGTTGACAAAAGAATGCTATATGAATGGAATCACTTGTACAAATTTTAAGGCAACATTTTATTTTATATATTATTTTATTTGTGCTGGGGATTGAACCCAGGGCCTTGTGCATGCCACCACTGAGCTGTACCCTCCACCCCTAAAGTAACTTTTTAGAATGTTCATTGGCAGTTTCCCTCCTTAGAAAAATAATATGTCTTTTTTTTTTTTTTTTTTTCAGTTCCAGAGATCAAACTCAGGACCTTGTGCTTGCAAGGCAGGCAGGCATGGTGCCACTGAGCTAAATGCCCGGCTCCTATGTCATCATTTTTTTAATTTAGAAAAATAATATAGCTAAAAATCAAAGTCAGCTCTTTTCCCACCCCCTAGAGAAATTTAAAATGAGACAGTTTTTAAAGAGGTTTGGGAACAGACTAGTCAGAGAGGACAAACAATAGCACAGAAGTGGTGAAAATACCAGAATAAAATTCCCCAAACTCTGACTTATGGAAATGGACAGCTAGGAAATTCCCAAATGCTGTTTTATAAGACTACTACAAGTATTCTTTCAAAGACTGTTAATGAGTTTCAGACAGTCTTCATAAAAATTGATCAATGTTTTTGATAGACATTGTTTTTCATGTTAACAAAAATAAGCTACTGAAAGTAATGGTTCCACTGGCTTATAGAAGCCTATAGCCTTTTATTCATTGCTAATTTGAAGAACTAATTTTTTTAACAGTCCAGAGCAAGTGTTTTTGATCCAGAGAGGGAGGGGAAGGGGAAGAGAGGGACTGTAGGTTTTAATGAAAGATGAAACCATCTTTCCTACAGTCATTTAAGCAGCCTGCAGCCTTGTGTCTTTGCTTTCTTGCTCGGACACCTCACTGTCTCCACAGGAATTGTGCTGACCTCTCAAAGTAGTTTAGCCTGCAGGGCATCCTGATTTGCAAGAGTTCATTCATGCCTTCCTTGAAATTTAAAGCATTTTCTGCTGCTTGTATTACAGTTACCAATATTCGCGTGTGTGTGTGTGTGTGTGTGTGTGTGTGTGTGTGTGTGTCCCCCTTTTTTGGTACCAGGGATCGAACTCGGGTCCTTGCGCTTGCGCAGCAGGCAGCAAAACTACTGAGCTAAATCCCCGGCCCCAAGTTTCCCCCCTTTTGAGATGCTGGGGATTAAACCCGAGACCTCACACATACTAGGCCAGTACTCTACAATCTCGGCTCTTACACTTCTCGGTTTGTTTTATTCTATCCCCCATATGCACACCGTTTCTCACTGCAATATTGAGGACTGTTGCTGTGTTTATGATCTTTTCCACACAGTAGGTAATTGAAATGCTTGTTGAAATAAATATCTTAACAGAGAATAAACCATTCACAGAGCTCTTGCAATAATTCCTAAACTCTGGCTTTCTACCTGTGGATATTTTAAAGGCGGTAACTCTGGCTGATATGTTAAGAGATTCAGGTATAGGCCTTAAATTTTATTTGCAAATAACTAGAGAATTTGGGCAGGTAAATTGCCTCTCAGATCCTGTTGCCCAGTGAGGGATGGTGAGGGTGCTTGGACTGCAGTGATACGGGGTTGTTATAAGGGGATGAAATTATGGAAATGATATATTTTGGAGAGTATATAGTTTATTTGCCCATGTTCTCAAAATTTTTATAATAAAAGAATCATAATTCTGAAAAAATAACCCTTCTTGAATTACTGTAGAGTAGATCTTAAAAATAAGCAAAGACAGGCCAGGGATTTAGCTCAGTGGTTCCGCCGCCTGCCTCGCAAGGGCGGGGACCCGAGTTCGATCCCTGGTACCAAAAAACAAAAATAAGCAAAGCTTTTAGTAGTTGGATTATAGGCGGCCGTTTTTTTCATAATTATGCTTTCCTACTCTCCTCATTTCCTATTGAGGGAAGTACATTACTTTAATCAAGGGAAAGAGGTGTTTCAAAAGTAATGGTAAACATTTCTTCACTACTGTAGGAGCTCACTTTGATGGTTTTTAATTCAGAGCATCTGCACTGTACCCCTTGGCTGCAGGGTAAGCTCAGCACTGCTGGA